GGTAGGAAAACATCAAAGCCCAGCAGGAATCACCATCCAAGAAACTAGGTCTAAGAAGGTAGTAGAGAACTGAAAATCCAAACCAGTGATAGTCTACAGAGGATCCAAATTAATAGGACAAAACAATGTTCTTGGTATCTTTTTATCCAGTTCACTTTGACTCATTTAAAAGAACCAGGCACGGGGTGCCTGGGTGGCTCAGTCAGTTAAGCATCTGCCTTTGGTTCAGGTCATGATCCTGGGGTCCTGGGATTGAGCCTAGCATCAGGCTTCCTGCTAAGTGGGGAGCCTGCTTCTCCCTCTCCCTGCCGTTCCCCCGCTTGTGCTCTCTGTCTCTCTCTCTCTGACAAATAAATAAAATCTTTAAAAAAATGAAAAGAACACGGCACAACCTCACAGTTGGGATTCAGTTCAGTGCTGTATTCATATTGATTATTTCTGGAAAGTGGGAGAATCTTGTGGAACACTCCTGTCTCATCTTCATCTGTGGGGAATGGAGTCATGTTCCACTCTTGTCATGGAGGGAGCTAGAGAGTAGGACTTAGGGAAAGATCACCTGGGGAAGGTGAATCTTGAAGACAGAGTTAATTAGGGCTGCGAGTCCGGCAGTCCTTTCTTCTGATGGTGGGGTATCTCCCTCCATTGCTGTCTTTGGAGGATCATTGTGGTGAGTTTCTTTATAGATGGTAATAACACTGAGGCTCTGGCTGCTTTGACATAGGAGGAGCTCTAGGGCTCTTTTAGGGTAAGTGAAGGATTGGGGAATTCCTGCAGAGACCAGTGCCTATGGACTTAAAGACCCTTGGATTTAGACATGGGGGAGAAGTATGGCCAGAAATACAGGCTCTAGAGACCAAAGTGATTCTGGTCACACTTGAAATGAGAGACAGTGTTTTTGCTTCTAGATTTGAGAACGTTTCCTGGTAGACAATGTCTGTCCAAACCCCCAGGGAGGGGAACATGGGAAAGGTATGGGACACCCTACAGAAAAAGCTGGCAAGGTTGGCAGCAGAGGTTCAAAGTAGAGTGAGGAGAATAGATCAGGTCAGGTCAGGTCATGGGTCTTCAGGTAGAAGAGGCCAACTTCTGGGAGTGCTTTTGATGCATTATTGCACGCACAGCTGTCTGGGTCCTGGTCCATTGGTCACCGGAGTCACCAGGATCCCTATAGGCAAGTATGTCAGCAACATTCATGTGCAATGGCACAGCCTTGGGAAGCCAAGCCTGCTGGACAAAATTGCCCAATGCTCCTCCATAGATGATTGCCTCAATCTAAAGGTGGGATTCTGCTGCCCAGAACTCCACCAGAATATAAAACACCCCTTTCTAGAAACGCAAATCAAAACCATAATGAAATATCATATCACTCCTGTTAGAATGGCTATGATCTGAAAGACAAGAAATAACAAATATTGACGACAATGTGGGGAAAATAGAACCCTTGTACACGGTTGGTGGGAATGTAAATTGGCAGAGCCACTATAAAAAACAGTGTATGTTCCTCAAAATATTAAAAATAGAATCACCATAGGATCCAGCAATTTTGCTTTTGGGTATATAACCAAAGGAAATGAAATCACTACCTCAAAGGGAATCTGCACCTCCGTTTTGTTTTTTGCAGCATTACTCACAAAAGCCAAGACATGTAAACAACCAAAGTGTCCATCGATGGATGGATGAAGAAAACATGGTGTCCATATAAGCCATGGAATATTATTCAGTTATAAAAAGGAGGAAGTCCTGTCATTTGCAACAACATGGATGGGCCTGGAAGTCATTACGCTAAGTGAAATAAGCCAGACAGAGAAAGGCAAGTGCTGTATGATCTCACTCCTATGCGGAATCTGAAAGAACTGAACTCCGAAACAGAGAGTGGATTGGTGGTTACCTGAAAAGGGGGTTAGGCGTTGGGGGAAATGTGTGAAGATGGTCAAAAGGCACAGACTTCTGGTTATAAGATAAATAAATTCTGGGAATGTAACGTAGAGCCTTGTGATTATAGTTAACAGTATTATACTGTATATTTGAAAGTTGCTAAGAGAGTAGATCTTAAAAGTTCTCCTCACCAGAAACAAATCTCATAACTATATGAGGGGATGGTTGTTAATTAAACCTATTGTGGTGACCATTTCAAATCATTATGTTGTACACCTTAAACTAATATCATGTATATGTCATTGTATCTCAATAAGTCTAGGACCAAAAATTAAAAAATAATAAGTAAATGTGTAATGTTTTCTAAACATTAAAAATATATATTCCTTTCTAGAACTAGGATGTAGTAGAGTGAAAGTTGGCAGCAGAAGTCCTAAGAAAGTGTGGACACATCACCAGCCCCGATTTTACCTTCTTGGCAAAAATCCTTAGCTTGAAAGGTGTGGTGGGTTAGGAGCTATGTTAATAGTCCCTCTGCAAGATGGGCCGAAGGGACAGATACTGTTGGTATTTCCTGCTGGGTAGGGCTCTTGAATGGGGCCTGAGTTAACACTGCTAGAAGGCTCAGATACATTTTGAGCAACAAATTGCCCTTCTAGAAGGTTCCTGTTTTTCCTGTACAAACAGAAAGTTACCCCAATACGTTCCCCTTCCTTTCCTCAAATGGAGAGCTTAGAATTTCCTGATACAATTGCATCTGAAGGAGAGGGGTTTGGTATCTGGGTGGCCTGTGAACTTTCTTGATTGCTGCAGAGACCATGACAACGCTCAAGCTTTGGCCCAGGTGGTAGGGGAACCTCGGGGGGGGGGGGGGGGGGGCTACTGGGTTGTGACTGAATCCACTTCTGTCAACTGCAGTTGGAGTTCCTGCCACCTGAGGACACTGTTGGAAAAGAGAAAATGGTTGGGAGCCTTGCTGATCCAGGCTGCTTGGGAATCGGCCAGCACAATTTAAAAGTGGGGTCAGGCAAAGGAGGCGGAAATTTGCATGTTTTCTCGAACAAAGGAGCGAAAATGAGTAATGGGAGGTGGTTCTGATAGGTAAGTCGGAGGTAGAACCCGCCTTGGGATGACGTCACAGAATATGTTTCTGGGGATGAGGTGATTAAGGGCAGGACACAAATCCTGAACACACTTGCAAAATGGAGGGTGGAAGGGCTTGCTCCATATCCCCAACGCCGATTCGACAGAAGGACTAGATTGTTCAGTTGTGAGTGCCCGCGTCCTCGCCCAAGAATAGGAAACATCAGTCAGAGAGGAGACAAGTGAGCCCAGTAGCAGGGTGTGGCTCTCAGCTGAGGGGCGGGTGCGTTCGGGGCGACCAAAGTGGAGCAGGGGGCTCAGGGAGAATGTCAGTTGGACCAATGGGTCTCACGTGGAGGGGCAGGGTGTTCTGGGGCTCATGGTGGGGACTGTATCTACTTTAAAGGCACTGACCTAGAGAATATTTCTTCTGGATTTTAAGTCTTTAGTCAATTGTGAGCAAAGATGGAACGAGTAGAGACAGAGATCCAGTAAACAAGTATTAATTTTTGTTGTGGCTGATATTACTGTTTCCCTTGAATAGCACCTTAAAAGGAATGATCCGTGTGACATCTGTGAATTAATTCAGAGGCTCCCGAGAATCAGCCCAGAGTCCTGAGGGTACAGTAGGAATCACTCCAAATAGAAATTCTAATCTTTATTCATTTCACTCATGGTCCCCAAGAACTCATGTTAACTTTTCTCTGGACATCATCTTCTCTCCTCTTCCCAGCACTCCCAAACTTCAGACACTACCTTGCCTTCCTAGACCAGAAGATCTCTCTCCCTTCTCTGTCTGCCCTGGCTCACTGCTATTCCTTCCCCTGCCACAACCACCTTGAGGACTGTGGTGTCTTCCTCTGGGTTGCCTTTCCTGACCTCTTCTCCTCGGAGTCTCTCTGGTTCTGAGCCTCTTGACCTCGTATACATCCCAGAAGTCTAGAAACCCGTCTGACTTAGTCCAGAGTCTCCATAGACAGTAGGAAAGGGGGAAGGGAAGGAAAAGGACAGGTTTAGCCATCACTTTCTACAGAGCCATTTTCCCAACTGATGATTAGTTTTTGCTAAGAAACAAACCAAAAAAGTAACAAATTTTAAATTTATTCCTTATTGGTCCATTCACACAAACGGCCTGAGGTCTTTGGGGAGATGACATACACCTGTGGAGGAATGTATGCTTGTATAGGTATATTGACTCTTTAAAAAATTTTTTTTAAATTCTGGTATGGTTAACATACTGTATTATTTTAGTTTCAGGTATACAGTATAATGATTCCACAATTCTATATATTACTCAGTGCTCATCATAAGGGTTCTCTTAATCCCTTCACTTATTTCACTCTGGATATTTACTCTTTTTTTAAAAAAATATATTTATTTGAGAGAGAGCAAGAGAGAGAGAGCACTGAGGGAGAGGGAGTAGCAGGCTCTCCACTCAGCAGGAAGCCCAATTCGGGGCTTGATCCCAGGACCCTGAGATCATGACCTGGGCTGAAGGTAGATGCTTAACCATCTGAGCCACCCAGGCACCCCTGGATTTTACTCTTATATGTGACCTGTTCTCTCTGGCCAAAGAGCTCATCACGTTCTCCAGCTTGGGAGTCTCCCTACTCTTGATTCCTGCTGATTCTCCTTCTCCAAAAAGTCTGTTAGTAGTCTACAAAGAGTCATGATCTGTTCTCTTCTTTGGTTCTTCAATGAAACCCAAAGATAGTAATAGCTTTTCTTAATGTGCTTGTTTCCCATCCTCACTGAAGCCCCTATTCACTTCTGTTTGTTTTTTTAATAAATAATGCACATGTAGTCAATAAGTGGGAGATGGGTGTGATTCAGAATTCTCAAATGTGTGGCATGAACAGTCACTTTGGGGAATGTGGTCAATTATAGACAAGTGTCTTTAAGTGGACTACAATCAGAACTGTTTTTCCTAAAAATTGTATTTATAAGCCACTTACTTAATTGTAATAAAAAAATCTGAATATCCAAATTGCAACTACGTTTTATTGCTGTTAGATTTGGACCACAATTAAGTGTAAACTTACCTCTGATAAGTTCACTGATGAGTTGTAAATTAACCTGCACATTTTTAGCAGTCGGGTCAAAGTCACAGATATTCACGACTAGGTAACTCTTAACATACTATGAATAAAAGAACAAAAGTTAGGGGAGCACCAGCAAGTAAAAGGAGGGCACCCAATTCACCAGTTTACAGAATTCCATGTACGTAAATTTTAAAACAGGCAAAACTAATCTATGGTGTTGGAAGTCAGGAATCTGGTCTGGTCACTCTGGAGTGTGTGTGTGTGTGTGTGTGTGGCAGGTGAGGGAGAGGAGAGGGTACAAAGGAAGGCTTCTGGGATGCTGCTGATGTTATTTCTTGATCTAGATGCTGGTTACAAATGTTCACATTATAAATTCTTGCATTTGTACATTTAGAATTTGTGCGATCTTGATTGGTAGACCTAAGCTTGCGTGGGTTCTTCTTCGATGAAAAAGAGTGTTTAAAGACAGAAGAAAACAGCTTACCCGTTTACACTTTTCCCAATCTCTGAAGTCACCTGATGATTCCAACTCTGGATGAATGAACAAGATCACGGCTGTCAGGAGGTCATGCACCAGCTTCATGCCGGCTTCCAGCTCCTGGGCCTTGCTCTCTGACAGAGACGAGGACTCTGGTGGGAGACTATAATCATAGAGCAGCAGTGACACAAAGTCGAGGGAGGTGAGCAGGCGGAGGCTTTCCTGCAGCTCTTGCAGCATGATCCGGAAGAAGAGAACCCCTACCCGCGGGACTTCTCCTACATTTTCAATCTCTGAAACAATATCCCGCACTGTTGGTTAGCCCGTAGAGTAGTTTTTCATAGCATTCTGAGCACAATACAGTAAACTTCTTTTTTTTTCCCCCCCCAGGAAAAAGAAGACCATATTCTATGGTTCTAAACAATCTTAGTTTCTCTAGTGATGAAATCAAAATGTGGAAATGGAATGACACCTGGTGAAGCTCACAGGAAGGGGCTTTGAGTAAAGGTAAAAACTGAGGTGTGAGGGTTGGACCTTAGTTTGAATGCCTACTCTCCCTCTTATTAGTTCTGTCTTTCTGAACCCCCTCTTCCTCGCTGTGAGCATAGGGCTGATCCCTACTTCCCTGGTGAACTGTGGGAATTAAATGAGATGATGTATGTAGTAAAAGCACTTAATGGATAAGTACAGAGTGGATGCTCGAAAGACATGAATTTTCTTCTTTTTTTCCTACTTAACCTACCCTGTCTAATGGCAAGAAACCTCTCAGATTAATCCCACATAACATTACTCTATTTATTCTAGGTAGCCAAAGGTTTCCATGCTTCCTTCTTCCCTCCATGATGCCCAAACTGCTTTTGTGTTGAGTAGCCTAGAGGGTGTGGAATCACAAGCACTAGGGTCTAGTTTTAGTTCTGCCTCTAGCTTGCGATTGGGCCATGACTTTCATGGATGTTAGCTTCTTTATATGTAAAACAAAATGCTTCCTCTAATACTGTGCAAGATAATGGACAGAGCCCCCAAAGTGGGGTGCAAATCCAGGCTTCTCCACATGTTAACTGTGTGATTTGGTGCAAGTTGTTTTGTTTTTCTGAATTTTACTTTCCTCATGGGTAAAATGAGTTATCACCATTCACCCAAGAGTTATGGCAAGGACTAATGGAAATTACATACGTAAAGTGCTTGCTCCATAATGGGGCATTTAATAAATGCTAGCTCTACTTTGCCTTTATGAGTCCTCCCAGTTTGAAACCATATGATTCCAGCTAAGAAAATGAGATTTCTTACCCTTTGCTCTAATTTATAGACCAACTCATTAGCCCAAGACTGCATGAGGGAATTCCTTTCATGTAGAAAGGGCCGTGTACTGTAACAATTCCTTTTAGGAAATGTACTGCAATCTGTGATTTCCCCCCACATTTATTAAACCCAGGAATTCAGATTGTTGCCCCCTTCACAATACCTAGGACATAGTTTTTCTTTATTTCTCCAGATATTTCGCCCAGTATTTCGTAACAGGCAGCTTGGACCACCTTCATCATTTTCTGTAGATCTTTAAATTCCCGATACAACAACATTTTACTCCTGCCAATGTTAAAATCAAGAACTCCCAGAGCTTTTCCTGTTCTCTCACGGAGTGGAATTATGATGTGGTTTTCTCCACAGACAGAGGCCAAAACAACTTCGGAACTGTCTGTACACTTGAAGAGGAAGTCTCTGAAACCCAAACCAAACAAGCCTAAGATCATAAAGCATCAGCCTGCTCACAACATTCCACCCGAACACACGGAGTAGCTCTCTTTCCTGCCAACCGTGCTCCTGCCATGCCAGGCCTTGTTTGACCTGCCTGCACGGCTCCACCCCGAGACTGCATACAGCTCTCTCCCCCAGCTCGCGCATCAGACACACAAGCCTCCTTGACCGAGCAGTGTGAAGTCACTCTCCATCGTGCGGCTCTGCTCCGTTGTCTTTGCTACACATATACTTATCTGAAGGTATTTGGTTTTTGTTTATATACTGTCCTGTAAGTGTCAGTTGGATGGCGGACGGAATGAGGGCTGTGTTAGGTCAGGTTCCCTAGAAGCTGAGCCTGAGACAGGAATGCTTATGCAAAGGATAGACTGAGGGAGTACTTTCTGGAGAAAGCTGTCAAGGTCGGAGGAAAGTAAAACGTGGAAGGAGAGGCTAATTAAGGACGTGAAGGCTAATTTGCAAGGACGTGGATGGAACTGGAGGGTATGATGCTGAGTGAAAGAAGTTGGTCAGAGAAAGACGATCATCGTAGGATTTCACTCATATGTGGAATTTAAGAAACAAAACAGAGGAGCATAGAGGAGGGGAGGGAAAAATAAAAATAAAATAAAAGGAGATGACATCAGAGAGGGAGACAAACCGTAAGAGACCCTTAACCATGGGGAACAAACTTAGGGTTGCTGGAGGGGAGGGGGGTGTGGGATGGGGTGACTGGGTGATGGGCATTAAGGAGGGCACGTGATGTAATGAGCACTGGATGTCATATCAACTGATGAATCAGTGAATTCTGCCTCTGAAACTAATAATACACTATGTGTTAATTAAATTAAATTTAAAAAAAAAGAATGTGAAGTCTAGTCTCAGTCTCATCTCAAGGGGAGCTCTGGAAGGCAAATTGTGCCAAAGATTTTGCCCCACCTTGAGGCAAGGGAGAGGTCTTTTACCAGTCATTGGCTCTAAGATGCTTTGGGTGTGTGTTTACATAACTCTGAGGTGCACCTCGTGAGGCTCCCATCACTCAAGGGCTCTCCTCCAGAGAAGGTTCCAGTGTGAGTCACTAGCAGCTGTACCTGTAGCAGCTGGCAAGAGGTTCATTAGGGCTCTGGGTAGGGCATCAATGGAACTGCTCCCTCCAGGGGCCTGAGATGCTCGTTGAAACATACTAGCTGCTTCCCTCTGTAGTGAGGTATAGACACATTTCTTCTCTCACATTCCCAATCTTTTTTAAAAAATTTTATTTATTTATTTGAGAGAGAGGGAAGGCACCGAGGGAAAGGGAGAAGCAGACTCCCCGCTGAGCAGAGAGCACCATGCGGGACTTGATCCCAGGACCCCGAGATCATGACCTGAGCTGGAGGCAGATACTTAACCGACTGAGCCACCCGGGTGCCCTCCCCCTTCCCAATCTACATTGATATTAAGATGTCATTCTTCTGAGGTATCTGAAAAATGTTGGTGCTTTGCATAGCCTCAAAAGGCATATTTATGGTTCATAATAGTAATCCCATAATGCCAGGTAAGATTATGTCCTTTTTTTTTTTTTTTTTTTGCTGTTCCCACCCCTTCCTGTTGCTGAGCTACCACTTTGTGTCTTAATGATAACCACAGTAGTGACGCATCACCCTAAACTTTCTAGGCACAACCATAAAGCTGATTGGTCAACAAAGTTCCTCCAAAGACACCTGTTCTAAGTTATGCAGAGGAATCAAAGGTTATGAGTCTGGGGGTTAAAAAGACTCTCCTAAAACTTTTTTTTAAAATATATATATATATATATTTTAAAGACTCCATTTATTTATTTGACAGAGAGAGAAAGAGATCACAGGTAGGCAGAGAGTCAGGCAGAGAGAGTGGGAAGCAGGCTCCCCACCGAGCAGAGAGCCCGATGTGGGGCTTGATCCCAGGACCCTGAGATCATGACCTGAGCTGAAGGCAGAGGCTCAACCCACTGAGCCACCCAGGTGCCCCTCTCCTAAAACTTTTGACCACAGCAAGGAATAACTATGTGGAAAAGAGATTAAACCTGAGTGAACAGTCAGGTATGAGGCCAAATTAAGATTTAATTAAATCTTGTATTTAAATCTTATAGTTAAAACATGTATTTAAGTGTCAATCAGTCTCCTAGACGGAGCTAGATTACTTTCCACTCAGCTGCACCGACTTCTAACAAGCAGCTTGTCCCTTTTGCAATACGTGTGTCCATCATTAAGATCTGTTTTGCACCTGTCCACAGTTTGTGCACCCTGCATCCCCCATGTGAAAGGCATTCAAAGGAATCTGGACTGGGTACTTATTAAAGACCATATCCTCTTTTTTAAATAAAAAACACACGTTCACAGGCTTGTTAACATTAAGATGATGAGCTTTGATAAGTGACGTGGGTGTGTTTTTTCACAATCCTGGGGTTTTTGTTGAATTCCATGCTTATAAGAAAAGCGTAGAAAATAAAACACTATCATGCTTAAAAACAGGCAATATAAAATGCCAGTGAAATCTATTTTCAAAAGGACTGGAAGGGAAAGGAGTTAACACATCCCACGCAGATAGGAATTTTTCCTTGAAAACCCAATTAGAATAGTATTCAGGTGTATACTAATAATAGGCAAACGCTGTGTCTCTCAGAGCTACTAACATGCTACGGGGATGTGTTTTGGCAGAAAGATAAAACAGACATGAAGATATCTTTCATACCTGAAGATGCATGTCTTCCTGAAGATTGTAGGGGGGTTCCTGTGGATTTCTGTTAGACCCAGGTGCCCGGTAACCATCATATTGCGTAAAACATAGTCTGAATCCTTGAAAAGAGGAAGAGATTTCAAACACAGAGAGGAATCATTAGACCTCATTTTCCCATTAAAGGTTTTGGGAACAGAAAAACAGGAAAAAATTTGGGAAACTTTAGGTGATCTCTGGCTTGAAGTAACGGGACATCTTACTTAGTACCTTTAAGAATGAGGCATTCATGAGAGAAAATTTTCAAATTACAACATTTTTTTAGATGCACAAACTTTTTTTATAATTGTGATAAAACCATATTTTTAATGTGAAGAGTGCATTATAAAACATTTGGAAAATACAGAAAAGTCCAAGGAAAATAAGAACAGTAAAAAATATTCTCCCCTGAGGTCTTTGTCTTTACCATCTCATCAAAACTACCTTGGTCAAGGTCACTAGTGACTCCCTTATTGTGAAATCCATCGATCAAACCCTAATCATCATCTTCTGCTGTAGCAGCATGTGACTCAGTGAACAATTTCCTTCTTGACATGCTTTATTCACTTGGCCTTTGGGACACCACTTGTCCCAAAGTGGGGACTCCTGGTTCTCCCCCAAATCACTTTTCTATTTCTTGCTGCTTCTTTGTCTTCCTCACCTCTAAGAGGTTTTTGAACTATAGATTATAACCTAACTATGGGTTATGAAAATATTTTAATGCCTCCCTTTTTTTTTAAGAGAGAGAGAAAGCGTGCATTCAAGTAGGGAGGGGCAGAAGGAGAACGAGAGACTCTTAAGCAGCCCCCCTCCATCATGGGGGCTCCATTTCATGACCCTGAGATCATGACCTGATTCAAAATCAAGAGTTGGATGGTTAACTGACTGATTCACCCAGACACTCCATTTTAGTGCCTTTAAAAAACAGCTTTATTGGAGTATCACGGATATACAAAAAACTGCACATATTTGATGGATACAATTTGATGAGTTTGGAATGAGTCGTGACCAACTTTTTTTTGGTAGAGATTATTTATAAGAAAGTAAGATTAACATATCCTGTAAAATATACTAAACTGTAGAAAAGATGAATTCAACTGGAAGAAATAAAAAGGTTTGTTTTTGTTTTTTGACAGAGAGAGAGCACAAGCAGGGGGAAAAGCAGGCTCCCCACTGAGCAGGGAGCCTGATGTGGGGTTCGATCCCAGGACCCTGAGATCATGAGCCAAAGGCAGATGCTTAACCGACTGGGTCACCCAGGAGCCCCTAAAAAGCGTTTTTTATGTCCACCTTTAAAAAATCCTTTGATTAAAAGGGAAACTGTGATAACAAGATCCATAGAGACAGCATGATGAATGGTGCTCTGGGGAACAACCACTTCGTAGTGTGGAGCTTCCTCTTGTCATGACCTCAAGTGTTCACCTAAACAGTTTAGATGAAAAATGTTCTCAACAGAGAATCTGGAAAGGTTCTCTGATGTTGGCAATTCAGCATCTAACTTTTCCTAATTTATTTCTTCCATGACTCGTTATTGGGTGTTATATATACTAGACTAAGAGGATTTTTTAGAATCTCACTGTGACTATGTTCCTAAGTTTAAATCTTTAGTCCAAACTAGACAATTCCTCTCCTGTTTCCACCTCTTCCCCCCAAATTGGGTCAGTTCGGCCACTTCTGTTAAGACTGGGAACATAATACGATAATAAGGGCTTCATAAAGAATATGCCTCATAATAAGCTTTTAATTTACTTTTACTTGGACCAAGAAACTACAAATTCATCAAGTGCCTCAGTATTATTCAGTAGTGAGATACCCACTCTAGTCAAGATTTTCTAGGAAACTGTTTAGAGAAAAAGGCTGCGATGGTAGTATCCCCCATTTTCTTTCTTCTGCTACTGGCTTGTTATTTTTTTCCTCCTTACTTTTCCAATACAGGTTTGCCCCACTCTCTGAAAGTAGGAAAACTTTCATGAGCTAAAACAATGTAAAGTGAAGAAGCAGTTACTATTAATTTATACAGAAACATTTTTGAGCATTCCTGGACTCCCCAAATAACCTCTCTTAGGCCTTTCTGATGCCTTACAATGCATCTTGCTAATGGATGCACAGAATAAATTGAGATAAAGCACAGATGCTCACACAGTTCAAAAGTATGGCAGCTTGATGCTGAGATGCTGAGTGTGGGCGGGGGTGGGGGTGGGGAGAGGCTAATGGGGCCTCTCTTCCGGCTCTGGGGGCTCACTACAAAACAAACGCTGGACCCTATTTTCACTTTTTACCTTTTTTCATAAAAGCAAAAATTCTCATTGGATTTCTGTGAGTCAGAAAAAAACAGATACTAATGAGGGTCTTTTGTAAAAGAGAAGTGGCCAAACATGAACTTTTGGAAAGTGGGTATCCAACCATCTATTCATTCTCACCTAACGCATTATGTATTATTTTGTATTTATCCTCTTGTGCTTTTTTCTTTTGACAAACTTTTTTTTTTTTTAAGATTTATTTATTTGACAGACAGAGATCACAAGTAGGCAGAGAGAGAGAGGAGGAAGCAGGCTCCCTAACTGAGCAGAGAGCCCGATGTGGGACTCGATCCCAGGACCCTGAGCCAAAGGCAGAGGCTTAACCCACTGAGCCACCCAGGCGCCCGACAAACTTTTTTTTTTTTAAAGAATGAGATAAAATAGAAGAGAAAGTATCCGAAAACATCACATAGTTAAGGTAGGTATTGTTTCATAAAACTTCTATTTTAAGAGTGTACCTCTGTGTGTGTATGTGTTTGTCAAGGGTCAGGATAGAAAAGGCAAAATATTTTTCATACAGTAGATCAAAGTCAATTTAATTTTGAGCCACAATGATTCCAAACACTTGACTGTCTCAGGGCTTGGACTTTAGGCTTTTTTTGTTTTGTTTTGTTTTTTCCTAGTCTCACTCATTCCCTTGGTTATTCCATCTAGTCTCATGGTTTTGGGTTTTGTTTTTTTTTTTTTTTTTGGTTATTATGTTAAAATATACCTAGCATAATATTAGCACTTAAACCATTTAAAAGTGTACAGTTTGGTGGCACGAAATACATTCATGATGTTGTATAACCCAATCCCATGTTTTGATTTTTTTAAGAATTTATTTATTTGTCAAAGTGAGAGAGAGTGACAGAGAGGTTGAGCACAAGCAGGGGGGACATCAGGCAGAGGGAGAAGCAGGTTCCCTTCTGAGCAGGGAGGCCGATGTGGGACTCGATCCCTGAACTCTGGGATCATGACCTGAGCCCAAGGCAGATGCTTAACCGGCTGAACCACCCAGGTATCCCTCATGGTTTGAAACACTATTTATTTGCTAGGCTGGGTTTCTTCCCAAACACTAGTTCATATATTCAACTACCTATTTAATATCTCCACTTAGAGTCTAAAAGGCATTTCAAATTATAGTTTAAAAATCTTTTTCAATTTAGTAGATAAAAGCTAACTTTTACTTAACTTTGTATTTATTTCATTATAAGAATGGAACTTTTTTCCATGTTTATTGAGCAGGCTTTAAAAAAATTTTTTTTTAAAGATTTTATTTATTTGAGAAAGCACAAGCTGGGGGAGTGGGCAGAGAGCGAAGGAGAAGCAGGCTCCTCGCTGAGCAGGGAGCCCAGGACTCCATCCCAGGACCCTGAACCAATGGCAGACATTCAACCAATGGAACCACCCAACTGCACCACCCCAATTTTTTTTTAGTAGACTTGTTTTTTGCTAATTTTTCTTTTGGATTTTTTTTAAAATCTTACTGATTTGTGTAGAACACTGTTAATCCTTTGCTAAATATGTGGCAATTTCCCCTCACTTTATTTAAAAAAACTTATTTTGTCTATAATTTTGGTGCAAGAAGTTCTACCTTATTATGTCATCAATGTAGCAGCCTGGATTTAATCGTTTCAACCTGTGGTGTGGGTTTAGCCATTCTTCCCCAGATCAAGACTGTAAATTCCCTCTCATTCCTCCTTCTCTCAGCTATGCTCATACACTTATTTATTTCTCCAGATGAAAATTAAAATCATTTGGTCAATTAAAAAAATCATTTTGGGATTTTTCTTGGAGTTTTGTTAAATTTATGAATAATTTTTGGAAGACATTCTATGTTTAAAAAGTGGTGTTCTTATTTAAAAAATCATATGATTTTCTGTTTTGTTAAAAAAAAAAAAACTGGGGTGCCTGGGTGGCTCAGTGGGTTAAATCCTCTGCCTTTGGCTCAGGTCATGATCTCAGGATCCTGGGATCGAGCCCCTTGTTGGGCTCTCTGCTCGTCGGGGAGCCTGCTTCCTCCTCTCTCTCTGCCTGTCTCTCTGTCTACTTGTGATCTGTCTGTCCAATAAATAAATAAAATCTTTAAAAAAAACAAAAACAAAAAAACTTAGGTTCCTTGGCAATGTTTGTAGCTTGTTTCATGTAGAACCTCTATAACATGAATCAGAAGGATAGTGACTCTGGTGATCTTGTCCACATCATTGTGACCATGGAAACTACATGCCCTGAGAGGCCATGCTTTTTGTTGACTGCTGTGGATGATTTTAACTTTTCTTCATGGTGCCCTAGCTATCATTTCCCTTGAGGCCCTAACAGGGCTATTCTTAAGTGTGGACACTGGCCAAGTCAAATCCTCCCCAAATCCCACACTCTGACTGTGGCCTATCAGACCTGGTGGTCTGCCCCAATACTGAATGGTCTTCAGCCCTCACCCCCACACACTGGGACGGGGGAACACTTGGAGCTTCCCTTTCCTACCCCACCCCCAAAAGCAGCACCCATAACTGGGAGTTCTCCACCTCTGCACTCTGGTTTTTTCCACCAGAGAGCTCTGTGATTCTGCTCTTTGGCTGAGGCCTCATCAGCTTGGTCCAACCACTCAGAGAAGAAAGGAGCCTGGAGAGAAGGGGAGAGGCACATGTGGGGGGCCAGCCAGGAGACTGAGAGACAACCAAGTTGCTGCCACCACGTGATCAGGCAACATACTGGACTCTTTAGCCTTCTTAAAAGGAAAGTGCCTTTCCATCCATTCTCACCACATGCAAAATCCTAACATTAAAATGAAGTGTAGAGGTGCCTAGGTAGCTCAGTCTGTTGAGTGGCGGACTCTTGATTTCAGCTCAGGTCATGATCTCAGGGTCCTGGGACCGAGGCCCACATTGGGCTCCGGGCTCAGCGAGGAGTTGCTTCAGTATGCTCTCTTTCCCTACGTCCCTCCCCCTGCTCTCTCTTTCTCTCTTAAATAAATAAATCTGAAAAAAATTAAATATATAAGATTAAGTGTGGGGGGGCAGGAAGAGAGGCAAACCAAGAAATAGACTATTAACTATACAGAACAAACGATGGTTACTGGGGGGTTGGGGGGGTGGGCTGTTGGGGGATGGGGGGGATATGCCCAATGGGCTAAACAGGTGATGGGTAATAAGGAGGGAGCTTGTTGTGATGAGCACCAGGTGTTGTATATATAAGTGAGGAATCACTAAATTCTACACCTGAAACTAATATTGCACTGTATGTTAATGAGCTGAAAGTTAAATAAAACCTTGGGGGAAGAAAGTGTAAAGAAGCAAAATAAACATTTGGTGAAGACTCATTACATTAGAGACAGGCCTTTTTTTAACTTGTGTGATGTAATTATGTCCTTCCAAACTCCAGAGCCTCCTCCCTTCCCACATCACCCATATGATTCAGGTGGGGGCTGCCAGTTACTGTAAACTCCTCCACCCCCCGCCCCTGGCTGGGGAGGCATATCTCAGGATAGACTAAGAAGATCTCTCTTGGGTTTTCCAAATTGAAACAAGAAGGAAAGATTCTTTTTTAGTTACTAAGCATCTGGCTTGCTCTGAGAAGAGAGCCTATCTTAAGCTGGAAGGACCAAGCCAAAGTGTAGAGGGAAGCAGACATGAGGGCTGCAGAGAGGAAGAACACGAGAGAGCCCTGATGGTATCGAATTTCTGGTTCTGGCCATCCTGGAAGCCAGCCTGACTCCTGTCCTTCATTTTGGTCACATGAGTCAATCAATTCCCTTTTCTGCCCAAAGCAGTTTGAGATGGACTTTTGCCACTCACAAGCAAGGCTCTTGAGTTGGGATTATGGGAAATATGTCCCCAGTTGGCTTAATAGCTAACTAAATATGTTTTTAAAAAAGATTTTATTTATTTATTTGACAGAGAAAGACACAGCGAGAGAGGAAACACAAACAGGGGGAGTAGGAGCAGGAGAAGTGGGCTTCCCACGGAGCAGGTAGCCCAATGTGGGGCCCAGTCCCAGGACCCCGGGGTTCATGACCTGAGCCAAAGGCAGACGCCTAACGACTGAGCCACCCAGGTGCCCCTAATTTTAAAATATTAGTAAGACGGGGGTGCCTGTGTGGCTCAGTTGATTAAGCATCTGCCTTTGGATCAGGTCATGATCTCAGGGTCATGGGATCGAGTACCACTCAGGCTCCCTCCTCAGCAGGGTGTCTGCTTCTCCCTCTCCCTTTCCCTCTTGCTCTCTCTCTCTCTCAAATAAGTAAATAAAATTTTTAAAAAAATATTAGCAAGACAAGAATATCTAGAAACACTGTTAGAGTTCTAACACTGCCCAACCTTGCTTACCTGCGTTGGGCCCGGCTCAATGAAGTATGTCGTGATCGTGGTAATGTCAGACGTGATGTCACAGAGCCAGCCAATGCCTGTGATCACGACATGCAGGATATGCTCCCTGCTGTGCACATAGTGATAGGCAGTGCTGAAGACATTGGCGACACCCTGTAGAGACAGAACATTTTCATTGTCTTTTCTTTTTTAAACTAACAAAGTAATTAAGGCATCAATTGGATTATCTTATAAAATTAATGATAATCTATTTCCAACAAATTACTCATCAGTTCTCAAAAAGCAGTGTTCCAGATTCTACTACACAAAAAAGATCTCAAGAAATCAAAGGTGTAAGGAGAGATCTACTGTAAGACCCACATAATTAATGTTTCCTGATAATCATCCAGTGAAATCTGTGATATGTATCGTCAGAGAACAGAGTCAGAAGAACAAGGTAAAGTTTGAAATGAAGAAAAATATTTAAAAGCCAGGAACTAATGCCAGCCTTGGGCAGATGGGTAGGAGTTCCCTTGATAGGATTTTTATGTGGCTTCTGTCATCAGATCGGTAGTACAGGCTGTGCTCTGTTCCAAGGCCTGCAACATGTCAGATTAAACAGTCTTCTCATAGACATAAAGAGAGCCTGTTCCACAGAGAAGGGATAGGAAGTCCTTAGAACCCATCTGTTGTCTTGTTGTCAAGAGACTCTAGGATTTCTTTCCATTCAGTTTTCCCTCCCTTCCCCTATGGTCCTCTGCACAACTCCTTATGTTCCACATGAGTGAAAATGTATGGTTGTTGTCTTTCTCTGCTTGGCTGATGATGATGATGATGATGATGATGATGATAATGATGATAATAATAACAATAGACTCTAGGAACCAAAAATCCTTTACAACTATGTGAATTTTATAATAAGACCCAAGGCATCTCAGGGTAACCCAGGAGCTTTTACCTCCAGGGGCTGGAGAGTCTTTTTTTTTTTTTTTCCCACATAATACTTTATTTTCACAATGTTACTTCATTCTTGGCATGAAATGAAACAAAGTCCCAAACATAAATGGTCAACTACATTGACCTAGAGATCAATGTCACTCCTGAACATGTCTCGGTATTATATTGAAAGCATAAATGTTAACTCCTTACTCTGTATCAGAGGCACTGTGTCAATTGTTATGGGATACAACATCCCCCCCCCCCCCACCATTGTACTTAGGAGAGCAGCAACAGTGTGTCCCAGGAGCTAAGTAGCACTATGAGCCCAGGCAGTGTAAGAGAGTCAATTTAAAATTCATTTTGAGGGGCACCTGGGTGACTCAGTGGGTTAAGCCTCTGCCTTCAGCTCAGGTCATGATCTCCAGGTCCTGGGATTGAGCCCCGCATCAGGCTCTCTGCTGAGCAGGGAGTCTGCTTCCCTACGTCTCTCACCTCCTGCCTCTCTGCCTACTTGTGATCTCTGTCTGATAAATAAATAAATAAATAATAAATAAATAAAACCTTAAAAAAAATCATTTTGACATATTCTCTAACAAGGCTATCTGTAATTCCCCCACTGATAACTCCATTCTCCTTCATCTTCTTTTGAATATCTTCACATCATTCTTAGGTCCAATGAGAGTAAATATTATTTAACAGATGTCCAGAGAAAAAGGTTCTACCACATTCCTCAATTATACATCCAGGAAACAGGAAGATAAAATTTTATTTAGTTATTTTTAAAGATTTTATTATTTATTTGAGAGAAAGAAAGTGTAAGCAAGGGGAGGGGCAGAGGGAAAAGGAGAGAATCTCAAGCAGACTCCACGCTGAGCCTCATGTGGGGCTTGACCCCATGACCACAAGATCATGACCTGAACCGAAGCTAAGAGTGGGACGCTCAGTTGACTGAGCCATCCATGGGCCCCAGGAAGAGAAAATTTGAAATCCTGGTAAATAAACATAAAGAGGTAGGGGCTTAGAGGAGAATGAGTGATAAAAGCCTAGCCTGGTGGTGGGTATTAAGGAGGGCACATATTGCATGGAACACTGGGTGTGATGTATAAACAATGAATCTTGGAACAGTGAAAAAATAAAATAAAGTTTAAATATCAAAAAAAAAAAAAAAAAGCCTAGCAAGTTCCTGATTGCTGCTATATCTCAGGTGATCACCTCCGTAAAGGCTGCAATCTTCCTTCTCTGCAGTTCCTATTCATAAAACCAAATAAAAATGCTTGTAGAAATGGTCCAGTTATTGCCTTAAAAGTGCCCATCTTTTCTGTGATCTAATTAGAAAACATGCATACTCAAGACACATTTAGGCTTTTTCATTCATTCTTCATTCTCAAAAATCATAACATCACATCAAACCAAGAGCCATGGGAATGCATTTGTGGTAAGTAAAAGATTTCTAGGTTCCCCTATTAATAACACATTAATGTGTACCTTTTCAAGGCTCATTCCTACTTTGTGGGTCTTAATTATTAGTCTAATGGTTGGATTTCAGTCCTACAGCATAAAATGCTGTTCCTATGATTAGTGCAGTGGGACACATATTAGCATCTCCCCAGAGAGACTGAGGCATAGACAGGCAACTGAGGCTGAGGGTTCTTCCATGTGTAATGGGGAACCTCTCTGAAAACAGATACACACAGTGAACAGGAACAGTAGGATGACATAATCTATATATACAGCTTTATTCTCATCTGGTTTTAGGTTTTGTTTTTTAAAAATATAGAAGGAGAGGCAATCCTACCATTGTTCTTGAAGAATTCCTCCATGACTTACCTGATAGAATCTGATCTCATGAGGTACAAAGATGTTAATTTTTTTGGGATCTTTCAGGGTGTCAACAGCCATGACCCCAAAGATCCTCATATGTGCATCCTGAAGAGGCAGAGCCAGGAATGATCCATTTTGATCACTCTTCTTGACAGAAGTGTTCCAGAAAAAGATGTTCCCATGGTGCTGAACTTGGGGCACGTGTATTGGCTTTCCCTCATCCACTACTGTAAAGCTGAGGAATAGGAATATGGAGACGGTAGAAAGGCCCAGGAAAGGCTTTAGATGAAACTGTGCAGGAAATTAAATAAATTCTCCACTTGTAATTATTGGGATTGTATGTCAGAGAAGTGGACTCATGAAATTGCTGGTTTGGAGAGTCTAACTTGAGAAAAAGACTTAAAAAATGAGCTTAGGTCATAACAGGGTAAACACATGTAAACAGGATGCCGGAGATATAACTCATAAAGCAGGCAGAATCAATGGTGCTGATGTTGTGAAGCAGAGTCCCTGAGTCCCAGAGTGCCTGGGAATGAGTGCTAGAAATGACCAGGTGAAATTACTCAAGACTAACAACCCATCACCTCCCACTCCAGGAGCATGGTGACCTGAGGCATTTCTCTAGTGGGCAGCTAACTAGGATTTCAATACTCATTTACTTCAGAAAGGGAATTATTTTTTTAGAAGGGTAAAAGCAACCTCTTCATAAATTCTTACCTGATTCCCTTCATGTCCCGATAGAGTACTCTGTTCAGCACAAATGGAGCATCATCTAATGTACAAGCTACGTTCCTCAACAGGACTTGCCCTCTGTCAGGCAGTAGTAGGTTTTCTTCTAAGAGGGCAATGTGAGCACTGATCTTCTTATTCCCATGGGCTTCAGCGTCCTATGGCAAAATGTTTCTGACCACGTATTTGCCAATAGCCAAAGAGCTATTATTTTAATCATGCCTCTTCATTAGCCTGTTTGAGCATCTGACCCCAATGGGCAGTGGGAAAAAGGCTGGCACCACAGCTGTCTCCCAAATCTGAGTCTTAATGAGTAGAATCAATTTATTTTATGTCTACTAAACTGGTTTACTTAAAAAAAATAGGGGGTTGCCTGGGTTGCTCAGTTGTTAAGCATCTGCCTTCAGCTTAGGTCATGAACCCAGGATCCTGGGAATGAGCCCCACATCGGGCTCCCTGCTCAGCGGGGAGCCTGCTTCTCCCTCCCCCACTCCCCTTGCTTGTGTTTCCTCTCTCGCTGTGTCTCTCTGTCAAATAAATAAATAAAATCTTTTAAAAAAATCTCTCCTCTTACTCAAATTTAGAAGTTTAAAACTTGGATCCCTTTAAACTATAGTCATATTGTCTGGGCTTCAGTTAAAAGTATTTATTTTGGAGGACTAGGGCAAGAAGATGGCTTCATTTCACTCATATTTCTTGAGTAGATTTTCACCATCTACTATGAAGTGAATGTAGAAAAAAATGCTCTCAAGGAATTCTTAACATAGTTTGGCTATGACATTTGATTTATGTTGAGAAAAAATTTCTTGGGGCCCCAGATTGCAGACTTTATGCAACTAATCTTTCGAATTCAAATATCTGAAAATTCTCTGTACCTAAGATACTACAATGTTATTAACAACACTATGTGTTAACACATATATTGAGCATGTCTATAAGTTGGGGACATGAAAGATCCTTTCCTTGATCTTTGTCTCCTCTTTCTATGTATTTAGGTCTGCTTTTCTTTCTTATTTTTTCCCCCCTCTGCCTTTATTCTGTCTTTTCTACATAAAAGATCTATAGAGTAACTAACAAAAATGTACCACAGATCTCTGAAGCAAGTTGGAGTAATAACCTCTTTTCTAGATCAGTCTTCTGCTCCTGGGCAAACCATTTCAAACTACGTTGGATAATTCAGCCATTCAGTAAATGAGTCCTTTAAGTGTTGCAGTGTGACTCCAGGTTCCCTGGACTAGTGGAATCTGTGACATATATAGAAGACAGCCATGCTATTTCCGCCTGGGAGAAGCAGCCAGCTGGGAGTCTTGGAGAAGATGGCAAAGCTGTGGGCAGTGGTCCCATCAGAGGCATGTGTTTTAAGTGACATGATTCTATAAGATTCTATAATAGTACCCGTGTGTTTCTAGGCAGTGCTATGAAATATTGTGTGATGTTGGATCCTTCTTTATAATGACTTTATGATTTAAATAGTACCTTTTGAAACCAACTCCTGAAACATCATGCAAGGGAAATGTGGCTTGAAGTGCCTGCACATCTCCTTACAGGTATTTTTCAGTATTAGTCTATTTTCTGCTCTAATCTTATTTGACTCTCAGCAAAAATGAAATTAGGAATCACAAGACATGATTCTGTCTTTTATACCTTTCCTCTCTACTTCTACGTTCCCAACCTACAATCCTTCCAGTTGCCTCTTTCCTAGGCTTTGGGTCATTGTGACGTTTGGGAATGAATGCAACTTCTATAGCAGTACCCAGTGATTTTTCAAGAGAATGTTAAGTGCTCCCTGTGAAACCATTGAGCACTCCCTACTATGAGGATGTTTCTCCTCTTATATATCACCTTAGGAAAACCTACCTGGGTGAGGGCATTAAAAGTCTTCATGTACACTGGTTCCAAGGACACCCCACTTGTCTTTGCAGCACGTTGGATCTGGTATAGCCACTTTCGTCTGGCACAATTCCTCAAATTCTCAGTATGGCTCCTTTCTAAAGTATTCATCAGAAACTCCACAACACTTTCCAGAACATGATCTTCATTGCCTCTGAGTTCAGATACAACCAATTCTATGTATTTCTGAAACTGTTTTAAAGACAACCTCACTTCTTGGTCAGGGTGTGGCTTTGGAAATTGGATGTGTAGTTTGGCTAAAAGACATAAACGTAAAACCAAGAACTAATCAAAAGTTCATTTATCTATGGGGGAAATTTCCATTCCTCTTTTATAGCTGACTGAAGCCCCTGACAACTGCTCACCATGGAAAACCAGGTATCTCAAAGGCATCTCAAAGCCCAACAGAACCCCTACAGTGACTTCCTGTATTGAGCTCAAGATGTCTTGTGTCATCTTCCCTGTTTCTGTTTTGCTTTTTTAAAAAAAAAATTATTATTTTTAATTATTTTTTTATTTTTTGAGAGATTGAGAGACAGAGAAAGAGGGAGAGGAGAGTGGGGGGAGGGGTAGAGGAAGAGGGAGACAGAGAATCTTAACCAGGCTCCACACCCAGCTGGATGTGGGGTTTGATCTCACAACCTTGAGATCATAACCTGAACCAAAATCAGCTGTTGGATGCTTAATCAACTGAGCCACTCTGGTGCCCCTCTGTTTTGTTTTTTTTAACTCTACCACACTCAGCAGTGGGGGAAACACCAGGGTCAACTTTGACTCCTCCCTACTTTTTACCTCCCATATCCAATAGGCCACTTAATCCTATCCTGTTAGCCTTTGGCAATGTATCTTGTTTCCATTTCTCTCCATTCCTATTACCATAATCCCAAACCAGTACTAATCATTTTATACATAATTGGATTACTAAGAGTAAGGTTCAATACATATTTATAAAATTAAATTAAAACACAACTTGTGACCAAAAAAAGCATAATCAGACCTCTAAATACAGAGAACAAACTGATGGTTGCTAGAGGGAAGGTGGATAGGGGAATGGACAGAAAGGGTGAAAGGGAGTGGGAGATACAGACTTCTAGTTGTAGAATGAGTAAGTCACAGGAATAAAAGGCATAGCATAGGGAATATAGTTGATGATACTGTAATAGTGCTGTGTGGTGACAGATAGTGGCTACCCTTAAGGTGAGCATAACATAACATATGAAGTTGGATCACCATGTTGTACACCTGAAACTAATGTAACATTGTGTGTCAACTATATACAAAACATTTTTTAAATAAATAGATAACATACAACTAGAATGAACCTCAAAGGCACTAAGTCAAACTTAAGGCTTTTATTAATCATGGCATTTGAATAATCATAAACACACCCCCAACTATTCTAAACAATACCTAATAAAAAGATAGCAACAGGCAAAAATGAAACACAACTTGCATCATGCAATTCCCTGGTTCAAAGTCCTACCACATTCAGTGACAGATGACAGCTACACTTGAGGTGAGCATAGCATAATGTATGCAGAATCACTATGTTGTACAACTGAATCTAATTGCTCCACTATCTCCATTCTACTTATGGTCCTGACCATGCCTTGCACACTTCTGCATCCATACCTTTTATTTTTTTTAATTGTACAATTACTAATGTGTTACCACACCTGAACAATACCAATAGCATATCTATACCCTGACCTTGTTCCATCCCCTGCCTCCCCACACCCCAACCAACATCCTGAAGTTTTTTTTTTTTAAAGATTTTATTTATTTATTTGACAGACAGAGATCACAAGTAGGCAGAAAGGCAGGCAGAGAGAGAGAGAGGAGGAAGCAGGCTCCCCGTGGAGCAGAGAGCCCAATGTGGGGCTCGATCCCAGGACCCTGGGATCATGACCTGAGCCGAAGGCAGAGGCTTTAGCCCACTGAGCCAGCCAGGCGCCCCCATCCTGAAGTTTTGCTTTTGCTTTATTCGTCCTTTCCTTTTATTTACCCAATAGTGTTATTGTGTATGTGTGTGTGTATATGCTTCTAAACAATATACTTCTAAATTAGTTTTGTCTATTGGTAAACTTCAGAAAAAGGACATCATGCTATATGTTGTTTTCTGGGACTTACTTTTTTATTCCACATCATGCTACCAAATCCACTCATGTTGTTCTTCTGGCTGGGACTCATTCATTTCCACCACTACATAGTATGTCATTTTGTGAGCCTACTGCCATGGATTTATTCTCCTGTCTGTGGGCATGCAGTCTGTCTCCAGGATTTGCCCTTATGAGCAGAGCTGCATCCATTTTTATACATGTCTCCTGGAGCACATGTGTAAGTTTCTTTGACACTTATTATAAACTATATGTTATATATTATTATAAATAAATCATAGGGTATGTGCCCTTCTCATTTAAATTTTAAATTTCAAAATCTCTCCTTCCTGAAGAAGTCTTCTACCACAATTTCTGCTTCCCTTGGAAGACAAGCAGCCATTCTTTTTTTTTTTTTTTTCTCAATTAACACATAATGAATGTATTATTTGTTTCAGGGGTACAGGTCTGTGACTCATCAGTCTTACACAGTTCATAGCCCTCACCACAGCACATACCCTCCCCAGTGTCTGTCACCCGGCCACCCCATCCCTTCCACCCCACCCCCTCCCAGCAACCCTCACTTTGTTTCCTGAGATTAAGAGTCTCTTATGTTTTGTCTCCCTCTCTGGTTTCATATTGTTTCATTTTTCCCTCCCTTCCCCTATGATCCTCTGTTTTGTTTCTCAAATTCCTCATATCAGAGAGATCATATGATAATTGTCTGTCTCTGATTGATTTCTTTCACTTAGCATAATACCCTCTAGCTCCATCCACGTTGTTGCAAATGGCGAGATTTCATTTCTTTTGATGGCTGCATAGTATTCCACTGTGTGTGTGTGTGTGTGTGTGTGTGTGTGTGTGTGTGTACCTCATCTTCTTTATTCATTCATTTGTTGATGGACATCTAGGCTCTTTCTATAGTTTTGCTATTGTGGACATGACAAGCTGCCATTTCTGTATCAGTCCCAATTTTCCCTCTGCCCTTAAGAAAATATATTTTCTTAAGAAAACATAAAAATATTTTATAAATAAAATGTCTTTTATTTATAAAATAAAAATTTATAAATTTTATTTATAAATAAATAAAAAATTATTTATCTGATATTATTATATGTTAGATAAATAATTTGACAATTAACAGATACTGCCTGGTATGTTTAGTCATCTTATCAATGAAAGCTTCTCATTTTTATAGTTGGGCTTTTGTTGATTATTGCTCTTTAGCATCCACACTCATCTTTCTCCTGTTGCTTGTATCCCAAATTTTGCTTTGTGGGAAACTACTCCACTCTATCTCCCTTTGTGTGTTTGGATGGGATTTCACTCATGGTTCGAGAGATGCAGCAGGCATCGTGGGCCTAAACCAGTCAGGACATTCTACTCCCTCAGCTAGAGTGGTTGGTTGAGTCCAATGCTAGACACTTTGCTTGAATTATTAGGAAGAGGACATTTTCCTTTTTACTCCCACTGGACTTGAATAAACCTGTGAGGCTGTGAGACTGGACCTGGTTCCCACAAGTGGAAAGGCTGTATGAAAATGGAGTCAAAACATAGAAAAGAGGAGAGGCACCTGGGTGGCTCAGTGGGTTAAAGCCTCTGCCTTCGGCTCAGGTCATGATCCCAGGGTCCTGGGATCGAGGCCCGCATCGGGCTCTCTGCTGAGCAGGGAGCCTGCTTCCCTTCCTCTCTCTCTGCCTGCTTCTCTGCCTACTTGTGATCTTCGTCTGTCAAATAAATAAATAAAATATAAAAGAAAAAAACATAGAAAAGAGGAGGATCAGACTGAAAAAGACAAAAAGAAAGAAGCAGACACTTTTCCTAATGCCATTGTTTGAACTCCCAAATCTGGCTGTGTCCTGAAATTGCCCAGGACTTTTCCATCATATGAAACAATAAAGCCTTTTTTCATTTAACCACTCTGGGTTGAGTTTTCTATTACTTGGACTCAAAGGGTCCTGACTGATATAGTCTTGAATTAAATTAGAAGTACCTTGTGGGTTCTTCCTCTTCAATATCTTCTTCCTCTTCTCCTTTTATTCCTTTCCCTTCTTGAACAATTAAGTCCTAAGCCATTGGTGGGGCAAGACAAGGTAAGAATCTGCTCTTGATCAAAGCAAGCCATGGTGGCCCAGAGTGGGGTATTTGAATCCAGTTGGGTAAGGATTGTTCAGGAAGTCACTTGGCATGGGCTGTCAGAGCCTGAGCAGGTGAAGATGTTAACCATGAAGGCTGGCAATCTTCAGCCTATCTGAGTGGAGAGCGTGGCCCTGCAGAGGCTGTTTAGCTTGGAGTATCAGAACCCAAGCTGGAAGAAGAGGATATCCACATGGGATATTTAGGCCTGAGCAGAGTGAAAAGGGCATCCAAATGGAGGGACAGCTTGACTTGAAGTCAGAACCTAAACAGAGTGTGGAGGGTATCCATGTGGAGAGACAGTTCGGCATGGGGAATCAGGGCCCAAGAAAAATGAAAAGGACTTCCAGGTAGGAGGTCAGCTCAGCACAAGGAATCAAAAGCCTGAGTAGACTGAGGAGAGCATCTATGTGAAAAGATGGCTTGCACAGAATGTCAGAACCTAAGGGATGTGTGAAGGACATTCACATGGAAGGGGGATCCGGTATGGGATGTCAGAGTCTGAGCAGAGTAAGGAGGGAAACTGTGGGAAGGGAGATTAATACAGGATGTTGGAACTTAAGTGTAGTAAGAAGGAAAACACATCAGTGTGGGGAAGAGGACAGTGGGGTGGGAGATTAGTTCCATATGGGGGATTGATCAAATAGATAGATAGATAGATAGATAGATAAAACAACAGAGAAGGGAGCTACAAAAAAGGGAGAAAACTAGAATGAACCCTGTTACTATTTTGGCCTAGGAAGTATGGTTGTGAACTTATGGTTTTTAATATTAATAGATATTTAGGGTGCCTGGGTGGCTCAGTGGGTTAAGCCTCTGCTTTCAGCTCAGGCCATGATCTCAGAGTCCTGGGACCAAGGCCCGAATCGGGCTCTCTGCTCGGCAGGGGGCCTGCTTCCCCCTCTCTCTGCCTGCCTCTCTGCCTCCTTGTGACTTCTCTCTCTCTCTGTCAAATAAATAAAATATTTAAAAAAATATTAATAGATATTTATGGAGGTATGTACAGATGTGAATGTTTACACACA